ATATATATATATATATATATATATATAAAAAAAAAAAATTATATATTAAAATAAAAAAAGCAATAAAGCATTCATTACACAACATACAGTATACGGTTGAAACAGAAGTTTACATCCATCAAATAAAAAGAACATGCACACTTTTTTCTCACTGTCTGAAGTTAAATTAGACCAAGCTTCTCAGTTTATTCCTGATACTGACCAAATGTATGTAAAGTTCTGAATTCAAAGAAAGTAAAAAAATACATAAATAAATAATAATAAATCTCATAAAAAATATTTTTGCTAACTTTTCTGGGATTTAACATATAGGAACTATTTTTAACCTAAAGCAAGTGAAGAACTGGTCTGATTTAACTTCTGACAGTGAGGAAAAAATGAGTAGCATATGTGTCTTTTTATTAGCAGATATCTTGTTTTAACTGTAACTGTTCTTCACTTTAAAGAGGAACAGAGGATCTTTGTCAACATTTTGTTTTGTTTTTTTATGATAGCTTGCATATCAAAAAAAATAAATATGAGGAAGGATGTGGACAACCTTCAGACATATTTGATGTGAATAATGTGTAAAAAACTGTGCTGTGCTGTTTTTGTAATATTTTTAAATGTTACAAATTTAATTATTTAAACATATAACAGAAAAAAGGCATCTAAAACTAAGAAAAGCTAAAAATGGTTGAGACAGTTATGAAGAAAGTAAAAACACTTGAAAAGATTGTTATGGGACGTTCACTGTTCTGTATCATAATAGTGGGATAAAGTATCTAGACATTTTATATATGAATATAGCATGCATAATCCAAAACTAACATGTTAACTGTTACAAATAATCTTAAAATGTCCGATTTAATGAACGCGTTCAGTATATGCTGCTAAGGTGCGTTCAGGATGTAAAAATAGAGAAGAAAACTAAGTTATTCAAACCATGACTGTTAACCTTCAGAAGAAAGTTGTAATAATAATATTAATTAATAATTAAATAATTAATTATTAATAATCTGCTGAAACCATGTCCGCAAATTGACGCAATAGCTCGTAAAGCTGCGAGGAACTCTAAGAAGTTGTGTTATCCGACTGAAATAGAAGGCACCACGTGCGCATGCGAACTACCCAACAAAGGTGCGGGACTGGAGAACCTCCGAGCGGTGCGACAGGACAACGGCAGAGGATAGGCTGAATGAAAACGAAAAGACAGAATAGCCAGGTTATAATTACAATGTTTTGTAGATATGTAAGAAAGAAGCTGTCTGCTTCACCACCAAAATAACGGAAACGTTGCTGTTCTCTCTTGAGTCAAAGAACAGCTTTTTCCCCCTCCCGAAAACCTCGAAAACCTGTCCGACGGAGTCCATTTCAGCTGGTCCCACCGAGAGAATGGATGGGAAACCCCAGCACTAGCAACCCGTTCTGTCAGCAAGAGCGAGAAGGACAAAAGCACGACCATCTGTGCGTTTTATGACTGAAAGAGGCTGCCAATAAGCAGTGAGGAGTCATTTCACCTCTCCAGGTTACAGCCGCCTATTGTTTTTTTTTCTCTCCATACATTCCGGTGGTGGGATGCTCCCTTAGGGTTGACTGCATACAGCATCAGCGGAGGAAATATGGGTGAAGTTCAGGACGTCAGGGATGCGAAGAAGAGCTTCGTCGCTCCAGCCATAAAGTCCTTCGAGCATTATGACTTTTCCCGAGCCAAAATCTGTTGCAGCCTCAGATGGCTGGTGTCCAAGGCTTATGGAACAGGTAGGGCAGTATTGTCCATTTTCTTTATTTTCTCTTAATTATCATTTTAAATAAGAAATTTAATTTCATATTTCACATAGTTTATTCAATTCTTTGTTTGTCAGTTTTATTATTCAATCATTTCATGAACACTGCACACGAAGATATCTGGCAGTATCAATAGGCCTATTGTTAGAACCCCCGAAAATTCCTTTTAAAAAGTAGCTTCTTCCCTTTTATTTACAGTTATGTTTTCATTAACCCTCTTTCATAAGCAGTATTCTACAGTTTTGTCACCTGTGGCCATCTTACATTCTGAAATGAACATTAAAAAAACCATTTGTTTTATAGGTGTTGCACTGTCTTAAAATAAGCAACTCTTAGCGTTCTGGATCCAAGTTAAAAACAATCTAAAGACAAACATCACATTTTGAATAAAACATAATTTTCCAGCGGTATCTGCATGGAACATTGTGGAGCTGATTTATGTCATTATTGTTCCACATTGTGATGGTAAATTTCAGTTAAGCCATCGCTCATCTTTTATACCATGATCAGGATGTTCCCAACAATCACCTGGAGCTCTACTATCTGGGTCACCAAGATCTTGATCCAGTGTGGGAATAAATATCAGGGAAAAAGTCCATCTAGTTGGGCGAATGTAATGTTGTCATGCAGAGGCTGAGTGCATAACACATGCTGTAAAAAAAAAAAAAGTCCACCCAATCCTGATGTCAAGCAGTTTGTTACAATCTCAATGTTGGACTTGTTGTTATTGGAATGATGATTGCAATACAATATATTCTACAGCTCCAGATAACAGACAAAGTCTGCTTGACAGTGGGATTGCAGAGAACTTCATATTGTCCAGAAGTGTTTTCTTTTTAATGAGGGAGCTTGGTTTTGAGTGATGGAAGTTTAAGCATTCCGGTTTGTTCCATAATGATGGTTTGCAAACTTATCTCTGATGAAAGTAAATGGTGAGTCAGTGTCTGCGTTTAACACTATGCTTTAAATGGATCTAACGGTTAACAACTAAAAGCATAATTTGATCCAGTATAATATATATATATTTTCAGGCCTGGATAAAATGAAAAAACAAAAAGCCAGTAAAAAAAAAAACTTTTGTTTGTACACTTTACTCCCTGTCCCATTGTCTAAAAGTTCTATCCATTCAGCCATTCATTTATTGTTCTCTCTGTTGTCTACATGACATTTTGACATAAAAGTGAGAAGAAACCTTGTATTGAGCACTATTTTAATGTTTAGCCCCTCTGCTCTGGTGCATTCAGCGAAGCTTGGTGTGTTAGGGCTCATCCTCTCCCGCTGCTGTTTTGCAACAAGCCGGCAAACATGACATCCCTTGCAGACCTTCTGTGTATTTTCAATCAGGACTGAATGAAATGGGTTGATTCCAAAAATATAGCCTTCCTCAGGGAGCGGGAGGGAGGCAGGGAAATAAAAGACAGTGAGCGGGCTCATATCCAGATCCCTGCCTACGCTGTACCGAATGTTCACATTCATCTAGTCTAACTCATTGCAGTAATGCAGGAGCACATCAGGAATATGCAAGTGTGCACAAGATACAAACCACACAGTGGATCGTCTCACAGAAAGCTGCAACACATCATACAGTGATCTCATTTTTAATGCACCAATTCATCTGATGTTATTTATTAGAATTATGCAGACACACAGATCTAATGTGGCATGAATACCTTATTTCCAGTGGTAAGTGACAGGGCTTCTATGAAGATTTATTGAATATGATTAAATAAAACTGCTTAGAAAAATATTCATATCTTCTGCTTTATTCCATTTTATCCATTAATCTTTCTAAGGATAGATTTATTTGTCATTCCTTCCTTTCTTCCTTCTTTTTTTTCTTCCTTTCCTTCCTTGTTTTGACTAATCACTGAAGAAATATCTCCATAAATTTATATGGTCTGCAAGCTGGAAAAGTCTGTAACCTGACACAAAAACATGTTGAAAGCTGGAAACAGTGTTTTATATATATAAAGATATATATGTATGTAAATACTAAAATATAAAGGTACTTAAAATACAGAGATGAATAACAACCATAGGAAAGTTCCTTCAGGAACAAATGTAAATATCAAATGTAAATATCAAACAGGAACAATGAAGAATTAAAGATTAGAATCTGAAGTTACATTTCTTTTTTTCTTTTCTTTTTTTTAACAGATTGTGGTCATATTTTTAAGGGGGATAAAAGCAGTATCTGAATAAGCTCTGGTGTCTGCATCCCTGATTCATAATCACACAGAGTTAATCTCTAAATGTCCTTGTATTTGACCGTCAGGCAGGTGACTGACAGATTTTTGTCTGTGTTTGTCGGAGCTATGTAGTAGAGAACATAACATCAGTGTTAAATGCTAAATGCATGCATGTATTTCTGTTTAGCTAGTGCTACTTTCTCAGTGATAACTTGAGTTTATTATTACAGCAATCAAATGCTTCAGTCCAAAAGGCAAATTTGATGAAGGGAAGTCAGTCGGGGTGGGTTGAATAAAATTTATATTTTTTTGCACAATTAGTGAAATCCTAGTTAATTTTGGCAAATACTTTGTCATTGACTTCTCTGAGGTGATGAACATGCAGCCTAACACTCACATGCAGCCAGTCCCTTTGAAGACGCAGGCAGTGTGGAGGGTTTTCCCAGAGAACTGAAAGCATCACAGATAAAGACGAGTTGAATCGATCGGATTCCGCTCCTCCTGCAGTTTCTATAGCAACACTAAGGTCTATCCGTACGCATCCATGTCAAGAGATAATACAAACATGCAGAGCAAAGAAGTAGTATCAGAAAGGAGGAGATAGATTCAATGACTAATGTTTTAAATTAGTCAGAATTTGTGCATTATGTTTTATTTATTTATCTTTCTTTCCTGAGTTTTGCTTTTGCGTGTCTTCTTTAATTTGTGAAACTAAGACTAAAAGTCTGCGACAGACTGGCGACCTGTCCAGGGTGTACCCCGCCTCTCGCCCGGAACGTTAGCTGGAGATAGGCACCAGCACCCCTCCCGACCCCACTGAGGGACAAGGGTGTTCAGAAAATGGATGGATGGATGGAAGACTAAAAGTGAATAGATTTTTCTTGTCTGATGTTTGTTCCATTTTTGCTTCAGATTTTGATTTCACTTAAAACTGGATTTCGAAAAGGATCATGTTAACATTCTAACAACCAATCATGGAGAAGTCATAGCTCTGTGGTTATCCCATAAGTGCCGTGCTAAACCTGCTGAGCGATTTATGAAACCTTTTAGTTATAAATCCATCCGTTTTCTATCCCACTATTGAACAGACAGCATCCCTGCAGAACTACAGGATCCCTTCTACACTGACCAGTATGAGCAGGAGCACCTGAAGCCCCCTGTGACCAGTCTGCTGCTGTCTGCTGACCTGTACTGCAGGGCCGGCAGCCTCATCCTGAAGAGCGATGCTGCCAAGCCGCTGCTGGGCCACGATGCCGTCATCCAGGCGCTGGCTCAGCGCGGTCTCTACGTCACTGACCAGGACAGACTGGTCACCGAAAGGGACCTGCGAAAGAGGCCTCTACAAATGGTGAGATACTTTGCTTGTTGGTTCTTTTTTGTAGGCATCAGGTTTTAGACTCAAAATCTGATGCCTTGTGTGACCAGTTTTCGCTCAGCTACAGAGGCCTGTTTTGTGCACAAGTCCTTTTTCTCATTCCATATGTCTTACAAGCATTATACTAAGACAGAAGCTGGACAAGCAGGTATGTTAGCTAAAACAAGACAAAACAATTACTATTTTATTTTTTTAGCGTTTTTTTTTGTTTGTTTTATCAGAATGTAAAATGGATGAAGCGCTTTCGAAACAACATGTCTTAAATGTTTGGATAACTTAAGTCCTCAAGGGCCGGTATCCTGCATGTTTTTGTTTTTTCCCTGGTTCAACACAATTGAATCAGATGACGGATCATTAGCAGGCCTCTGCAGAACAGAAACATGCGAAGCAGGTAGGTGGCCCATGTGAATCAGCCGTGTTGATGCAGAGACACATCTAAAGCTGGCAGGACACCGACCCTCGAGGACTGGAGCTGGAGCTGGACTCCCACGTTCTATAATAACTAACATTACAAGCAACAACTTGAGGAAAATGCAAAACAACACTCAACATGTGGGCATTTCAACAAAGATTGGAACCAAAGGCTCAACAGAACACTCTGACTTCAACCTCTGCACTTTGTTGTGTGAGTGTTTATTTCCAATACATTTAGGATGTATTCTCCCATAATTTTTAACTAATTTGTCAGCGTTTGAAATGAGATGGCTTTAAAGGCTTCCCGCTGAGTTCGGATGAGGTTTCCTCATTATTTTGGAGCAAAATCTCAGTAGGATGCAGTGCCGGTTCAGTGAATAGCAATTGAGATGCGATTAACGCACACTGTGCCTGCAGTCTGTTTGTAGACCCTCGCTGCTTTTATTTCTCCTCTATGCTAGTTCAGAAGTTATTTAAGTTTTACGTCAGGATTTACATGCCAGATTTCTAGAGAAGAAGACAAGCAGCTAGTATTTGTATAATTTCACAATAAAGTGGAAAAGCTTATTATACCTCCATCTGTTAATCTTTGGGGGGTGGGGTGGTTTCTGGGTACTGGATTACCCATCCCTTATTACTTCAAAGAGTCTTTCAATTGACCTTGAGCTGTAAGTGGGGTTCACACCAGAATCAAGCCCAGCATGGATCCTGACTGACTGGTTGGCAGGGAATAATGTAAAGCGTTTATGTGTGACAGGGTTTCTAGTGAATGTGAAAATGAGCTGATAGATTAGTGGGAAATGCCAAACAAGTTCTGTCTTTTATACTTTTTCAACTTTCTCCCTTCCCCCCAGTCACCTGCCATATCCCTTCACACCACTTCATGATGGTTGTTTACCTTTTTCAGTTTGGAGCATCAATTATTTACAGCCTGTCAAAATCTGACAGGGCTGCACTTCCTGTGCTCCGTTGAGGTTAGGCTTATCGAAGACCAGAAACAGGAAAAAGATTTCTCTTTTATAAGATGTGGAGAAAACATCCTTAACATGTGACTTCTTTTGAGAGAACAGAACACTCAGCACCTACCTGCAGTTAAAACTGCTAGAGTAGATTCATTACATTTTGCTTCGTGGCACTTTTTATTAAGCATCCTTCCTAACTCAGCAATTTGTGTCCAGGGAAAGAATTTTAGGAATAAGCAAGTCTACGTGATGTCTAAAGCAGCCTCACTCAGTCGGTCAGAAGATGGTGATGCTGATAATGTCTGACTTGTGTCATAACACTGCATATTTTCTGACGTTTTCACTGGGTTTCTAATTTGAATTTGCTTTGCAGTGGTATTTTCTCTGTCGCTCTCTTTTTTTGTCACTGCTCTGCCCACTCATCCCTCTGTCTTCTGCCATGTGATGAATTTGCACACGTGAAGATGCAGAAATCGAATCGCAGATCCCACCTACTCAGTCGCCCACACTGATTCTGTATCCCAGGCTCTATCTTCTCTACCTGATTGGCTTGCAGAGTGTAAAGGAAGGAAAAGCAGGGTTAGACTGACAGTCTGAAGGAATGTTTCTATCCTCATACATTGAAGCTTACAGAAAGCATCACTGGAAGAGAAACGTTCACTGTTTAATTTGGATGATTCTTTTGGCTTCAAAGGCTTTCTGTGCAACTTTGATGAACATCAAAACATTAAGCAGCCTACATAGTTACCTCCAAATAATCTGAGTACAAGTATAGGTACATTTCTTTGCATGATAATAATGCTGCATCAGAGTGTTTTAATATAGAATTTATGTACTACTTCAGACTATTTATGAGTGACTTTAGAATCTAAAATACAGGAAATTTAAATAAATAAAATTTTGATTTTTGTATTTTCATGCATGTCCATTTATCTAATGTTTGTGGCACTTTTTAACAAGATTCAGTGATATAAACTAGCTCTAGATTGCTCCTCAGATCACTGAAGCAGGTCAGAAACAGTGGCTACCATTTAATATACCAACAATCTGATCTGCAGTGCAGTTCTGGTGGTTAATTGTCTTGCTCAAAGGCAGCTCTGCTCCTCAATTATCACTGCTCATATCCACCAATAGCCTTAGGAAATTAGCATCACAAAGGAGCAGGTGGTTAATTCACGCTATATCATACATACTGATGAAAATTATTCTAGTTATATGATCAATTTGTGCATCACTTTGAGTCAGTGAGTCACTTTAAATGCTTGTTTATCCATCACTTCTCAATTTAATGCATACAGCTCAGAATTTCTTGCAAGGAAGTAAATCCAACATCGTTAGCAATACACACGTCAGGGGGTGAGATTGCATTGAGATGGCATTTCTTCAAAAAAGCTGAACAGTTTAAATCATAACTTTCAAAACATATCAAGATGATGATTATATTGAGAGGAAGAGAGTGTAAAAATGTTTTTTTTTTTTTGTTTTTTTTTTAAAGAAAGGCATGATATGTTAGTGGCTACTGCTAGAAGTGTAAATTAGTTGGTGATGTTTTACATTGGAGAGGATTGTCCATTGTAGTCGGACACAATTTATTCTAGCTAAATGACATGAGTTCTTACTGATAAGTGTCGTCTGTAACTATGGAAAATAATTTTTTTTTATAACTTTATTATTTACCAAAGTGGATGGAAATGGTGCATGTCCAGGCTATGATTCTTTCATGTACGTAAACGAGACTGGCAGGCTGTGACTGGAGAGCATTAATCAGAGACAAGAGGGTCACTGTAAATAAAGACATGCAGAGGTGGGAGAATCTGTTGACAGGATTGTTATTGTATTCAACAAATCTGGTTTATGCCAAAAAAAAAAAAAAAAAGTCATGGACTAAGAGAAAGCATGAAGACAGAGTCCCAACAATGATACAATAGTGTTTGGATTGCTTGTCCTCAACCCCACAGGTGAGCAGTATTTACCTTTTTCCTGGAGGCAGTATTAGTTTTTCAGTAACAAGAAGCTGCTCCAGAGAAGGACAGAAGGTTAATACAGGGTAGGAAAGACATACAGCCAGAGCTACACTAGTACTGTTCAGTACACTAGTACTGTTCAGTACACTAGTACTATTTAGATGGAAACACAATATGTTGGCATGGCCCAGTTGTCAATTTTAAATCACATCTGTGGAAAAACTTGACAAGTGTCGTTTACAAATTCCATTCATCCAGTCTGAGCTATTTCGGAAAAAAAAAAAAGGACAAAAATTTCACTCTAGATGTGAATACCAGCAGTTATACTTGAAAGACTGACATTTTTTGAAAAATGTGGTTCTGCAAAGTATGATTTAACCTGACAGAATGTAAAACTTTCAAGGATTTACTTGTTCAAGGCCGTTTATGTACTTCAGTCATAATTACACATTATTACAAGAAATTTGATCAAATAATCCAGAAACTTGCAATCAAAACATGAAATGAAGGATTGATTTCTAACATATTATGCTTTATATAATAAAAAAAGGAGGTTTTGCCCAGCTTGATTTTAGTCTATGGATAAATGGGGTCGTGTTCAATTAGCACATGTTGCTGTTAACGATATCAACAGCAACAGCAGCAACAGTAGTTTTCAGAAAGACTTGTTGGTTACATTTTTTTTCGACTATGTGATGTAACAGATGTGAATCTTACACAGAGGCGCTTTATTCATTTGTGTTTCTAAGCATGGTACATTTAAAACAGAGTCATCTGAGTAAGTAATTAACTCACCATATATTGACTCAATATTAGTTTTTCAGCTACGCAGTGATGTGCTGTCTCCTGTTCAGCTTGGATGAATTTGGAGAGTTAATTTCCTCCTATTATTTTACCTCCTTTTTCTCTGCCTCCATCACAACCCTTATTGGGCTGGCGCTTTCGTTTCCATGGTTACACTCCCGTAGGTTGAGGGCTGCTTTCGTGTGTGTGTGGTGGTGGATGCAAGAGTGGGGGTGCTTGTGCCTGCATATGTTGTATTCAGCACGATGAGCTTGTATGTTCTGCATGCATTTGAACATGTCTGCTGTGTGTGTTTGTGTGTGTACGCATGTGTGCATGTGTGTGTGTGTGTGTGTGTAGTAAGGACTGTAGTGGTGTTGAAAGGCTGTGAAAGGGAGAATGCTGAAATGTTGGCTTCATCCAAGCAGGCAGATGGCATTTCTAAGACTCTGTATCTCACACTATGATACCCCTCCTTACACACACATTCATATGCAGAACTAAGGAAAGCTCTTGTGGGGACCAAGCCGAGCATCGACTTTACACAACTATGTTACATTAGCAGTGCCTGTAGTGACTTATGCATAGCACTCTGAAACTTCTCTCTTATGTGATTGAAAAATAAATACAAGTGAATTTAATATGCCTTGATTTTAATAATCTATTAGCAAACAGTGAGAAGCTAAACAGAAAGATCTAACTGATGACCAGTCAAGTTATTTCTGTCTGATTCTGGCTTAATCGTAGTAAATATATTTGGAAAATGTCATAAATGACTCCCAGGCTGTGAGTAAAATATGGCTGGATCATCAACAGTGAGGATATCTTTTGGCAAGAGAGCTGAATCTCT